AACCAGGGCGTCCTCCAGCAGCCGAGCCTGATCCTCCGGGGGGGCGGGCGTGGCCATTGTCGCGGCGTTCGAGCAGGCGGCGGGGTAGCTTGAAGGTCAGCTTGCAGGGACGATGAGGCCAGAAACAAAGACAAAAGCCCTCAGTTCGGCATTGACGGGCAGGGCGAGGCGATTGCGCCGGTTCGGGTTGGTGATGTGGGAGGCGAAGACGAGACAGGGCAAAAGGCCAGCGCAAAGTGGCTTGGCTGCCAGTGACGACAGCTGTGGTTACTGGTTACAGGTATGGATATCGCAGCGCAGTGCAGGCTGGAGCTGCCAGAGGAGCTAAGCCGGTACGCTGGGACTCGTACCCAGGCAGGCTTGCAAGGGTGAGCATGCCACGTGATTTCGGCGGGCCAAACATTCTGGTTTCAACCAGGACAATCAACTTCAATTGAACAGCATCCTCTGCTTAAACATGTACTACTTGAAGACTAATCGAATTTTATCATGTCACTTGATAATAGTGTGAATTCATTATCATCGACTCGAAGCCCATCTCTTGATTTGGCTCTCCTCCAACAGCAAAGTTATGTACGTCGAACGCCGAGACGCAACAAAACCGGGCTTCGAAACTCTTGTAAAATGCGATGAAAAATCACGGTTCATCTCTATTTCACCTAGAGGCCATCATATGTATCATCAACCCAACTTGTATGCATATTCATCCATGTTGCCCTTCAGGAGCAAAGCAGCCTTCTATCCAGTCTCCTATTCTCTCATCTAACATCTTACAAAAAAACAACGCTCTAAACAAAGACCCTGAAAAACGCCCGCTTCATCATGTCAATAGACCCCCGTTTCCCCCCCTTCTTTTTTTTCTTTTTTTTCTTTCTTTTCTTTCTTTTCTTTCTTTTCTTTCTTTTCTTTTTCTTTTTTTCTTTTTTTTTTTTTACCACTTGACGACCTTTTGAGGGAAAAACTCGTCAATCAGCTCCATATAGTAGGGCTTAAGCTCTTCCACACTAGGAACATCGTCACTCTTGCTGTACAAGTCGTACGGGTTAAAGGCCTGGACAGCCTTCATCATCTGCCAGTCCTTCTCAACCATAAACTCCCTGTAGGCTCCCTCGCGGTGCCAGGGGTAGAATGAGTGGTAGCGGATCATGGCAAGCGCCTCATCCGGCAGAAGCGACTGGTCGCGGACAACGTGGTAGAGATACTCGTCGTGGCCCCAGCTGAGCATCATGTTGTCCAGGCCACAGCCGGGCGAGTAGATGCCGTACTTGGTTGAGTAAACGGGGTCCTTGGTGTCGGGGTTGTTGGCAAAGGTGTTGGACAGGATGATGCGCTTGTCAAAGGCACAGCCAACGGGGAACGTATCGCCAACGACGTCCCACTGGCCCTGAGTGCCGAGCTCGTCGAAGAAGAGCATGAGCTTGCCAAGGTCATGGATCAGACCCGTGACCTGCATCCATCGCGGCTTGCCATCGCGGCGAATCGCCTCGGCAGACTGCAGCAAGTGCTCGATCTGAGACAGCGACGTGTCCGGGTCAGATTCGTCAACGAGAGTGTTGAGCTTCTCGATGGCCTCCCAGACGGTCATCTCCGCGCGCACCCGTGAAGCGCTCTTGAAGCGGTTGCGGGCAGCGAGGTTGTAGGCGACAGTCTGCTTTTCGTGCTGCTCCTTGTAAAAGTTCTTGACTCTGTCGCAGGCATCCTCGTACTGGCGGAAGTTTGCCTTGTCCTTGTTGGCGTCGAACTTGGACTCGGAATCGTACTTGATGCAGTTTACGTCGTCGATGGCGTCGGAGACATTTTCCAGCTTCTGGCCGGCAGAAAAGGCAATGGTCTCGCCGAGATCAACGATGGCGGTTGGTGCCATGGCGAAGGGAAATAGTAGGTATCGAGTAATGAAGTAATGTACTTGACGGCAGAAGAACTGATTGCAAATACACGTATAAAAGTAGAAATATGCAGTATATCAAGAACGATTATCATAAACCCAATATTGCACTTGGGATACTTGTGATATTCTAGACAGTCGGCTGTATATCTCTCAACAGTCGTCTCTTGGATGAAGAAAGCCAGCTCTACTAGCCAGGACATCGCCGGCCTTTAAGTATCCTTCTATGCCCCATGGTCGACTTTCCTAATTTACCGAATTGCCTTTTTACGTCATCCAACGAGATCCTCCACCCCCTCCAAAAAACAAAAACCATCGCCATGTGCTGCTCGTAGGTTGTACGATGGGGTCAATGTCTAGACAAAAAGCTGGAGCCCCTGGTGGAACTTTCGGGCGGCGGCATTTCCATATCTGGGATCATCTCGGAGGCTAGCGCCGCCGACGGCTTCCTAGATAGGAGATCCCCAGATCTTGTCCCGAATGCGCACGAATCTAAAGCTTAGATGGCGGGCGCCATTGCTCGTTCAGGCAGATGAACACATCGACGTTGATCGTACCAAGAGGGGGGAGAACTCACACTGATGCTGAAACCCATCAGTTCATCTCAGATCTGCTTTTGAATCTAGCATCGTTTTCCAATCTCTTGTTTTTATCCGACACAATCTCACCAATCAAAGGCCCCTAATTTCCATCTTTTCCATATGTAGTAATTTACTCGTCCAGCAGTGGAAGCGCTCCATTCTTGTGATATCACCTTGTATCCGCACCATCTCCTCCTCACTGGACCTGTTGCTGGGATTCCATCATGCCTGCCTGCATCGGAACACAACAGCCTCCTCCCGAGCAAAGTCCCCGGCCGACTCACAAGTTCGAGACCTTTCTTCTCCTTTACACTGAAATCGGTCACGAATCCCCGGACCGCTGGTCGGCTGACTGCGAGATCCACATTTCCCGCCGGTGTCGCCTTGAATTGTCTCGAAGCTCGCATGCCTGTACTCGTACGGTGTATTCCGTATGCCTGCTCAAGCTGCACAGACAAAACTCAGCCAATGTCTTATCCCTGATGAGAATAAAAATTCCCTTCCATCATACGATTCCAAGACTTATTCAAGAATAGAGCCTGTGAACAATTTCTCCTCCGGACCTCCTTTTCCTCAAGGACACAGCCCCCAGATAGATCCAGATGTGGTAACAGTCGGCTTACCTCGCCATTTTAAGACACAGACTGTCTTGAAGTACTATCAGTATCCGAAATCCTGTACGGTGAGTCTTGACCATGCCATAGATTAGGGCATCCGATGTGGGCATCCGACGTCTGCGGGGGGGCAAATCTGACTATCCTGCCGACACTCCCGCTCTTTCTCCGAGAGAGACATGGCTCCAGTAATCGTTTATCATTTTCTAATGCTTCTAAATACGGATGATCCATCTCCTGCGTAATTTGGCATCATGCCACTTTCAAATCGCGCTGTGGCTGTATCACTTGAACCATTCTTACAAATATTGTTACCAACTTGGCCAAACACTAGATAGTATGAACATTTAGCCAAAAAAGCATTGAAGTGATATATTGGTCTCCTGAGTTGAGTCTTATTTGTAATTTTTCATCAGCTGTAGTGCAGGGCTCATAATCAGAAATGACTCGGCGAGCTTTCCACAATATGGCACGTATGCTATACACTCCTCGATCAACAGGGAATGAAACGATTTGACCTCAAACATATGATAGTAGTTGCATCATCTCCTATTTGTCTGTTACATTAAATAGAATTGGTGATCCCGAAATGCACAGTCCCTACGTTTCATGGTTTTCTAGATAGGACAAGCCCAGCTCATCTCAGCGCTTAATACGGTGTATAAACAATATGACTAGAATGAAATTAAACCTATTAGATAGATCAAACATGAATTCTGCTACTTTTAGAGGTTTACACTCTAAGTGAAATATACACGTGATCGATCCTCCACGTTCTTCTTCGAATATTGAGTCAAGGAGCTTTCATACGACACAAACTACAAACACATTCCATTGCCTCACCCAACTTCTATATTTTAAGCAAATATAGAACCAATCAAGCTTCAGTCGCTCTCCAAATCGTACTCATTTATAGCAAACCCTCAGTTTCAAGCATCTCCTAAGCCATGATAGCGCAGCTGCCCAATCACAAAACCCACAGTCTTTGCGACAGTCTTTTTGATATTGTCGATATTATCTGCGAAAATGATGTAGCAAAGTCTTGGGGAAAAGGGCGACTTCAACATGCTGAAGCCCCCTTCTAGAACGTTTCCAGAATACTGGTCTGTGCTGAGTAGCCTCGGCAAGATGGGGAAAAGTGACCAGAGCAACATCCCCTGAACTCGTCTTTTCACAGATAAGATCTAAAATTCCGACGGTCGTGCCCATTGTTGAATGGCCGAAAACGGATGTACCAAGACTTGAATGCATACGGAAATAACTGAGGCTGCGTGGCTACGACCTCTATCCCCATCAGGCTGAGATAGCACATCGTCAACTATCGAAAGTGATACAAGATCCTGACCTTTTGCTTTATGGATAAAAACACTTTTCTATAAATATTCTTCTGGAAGGATACTAGTATGTATGTTAGTACTGTCGCTATTGACAAAATAGATGAATCGGCAGTTGGTGGCTTGCCAACCAACACCAGACATTTCATTCAATGCCCGTGCTCTGTTTACCCAGCTATCATTCTGCCTGGTGTTTGAAACTAAGGAAATTGAATTAGTCAAAGGTACTCTTGATTCTCCTTATATGAGGCAAATAAAGTATCTCACTTACTTGCTATCGCCCACATCATTCAGAGTCAGATGAAGCCATTTAGAAGTTCAATGGCTAGAATCTCCGTTGCACCGTCAATCAGTTTCATTTCATTTTCAATCCTACACCACCTGTGGTTAAAATATAATGAGGAAATCCAACAGACATGAAGGGCCTATGCAGCCTCTTGGGCGGAGGTTTTGGTTGGCGTTCTGGGCAATTGCGTTCAGTAACTTGGCCGCATCATTTGATGCCACCATGCTGTCAGTCGCGCTGCCAGTAAGTTTTATATCTTCATCTAACTCGTTCTTCAACAGCTTATAATTTCTCTAGACCATGTCTTCAGAGCTCGGAGGCTCTTCCACGCAGGCCTTTTGGGCCGGAACCTCATACCTCCTCGCATCCACAGTCTTGATGCTCATCTGGGGGACGTTGAGCGATGCCTTTGGCCGACGAATCATCATTCTTGCAGCTCTACTAGTGTTCGCTCTTGGCACGATCCTCTGTGGCGTTGCACCCTCTTGGACAATGATGCTAGCCGGCCGGACTGTGCAAGGCGTCGGTGGAGGAGGCATCGTCTCACTCACAACGATGCTCGTCACGGACATGGCGCCGCTACGAGAACGTGCTCGCCTATATGCTCTTATCGCCTGCATTTGGACTGTCGGCAGTGCAACAGGGCCAATCATCGGTGGCAGCCTTTGCAAGACGAACACATGGAGATGGATTTTCTGGATCAACCTCCCCATCATCACCATCAGCTTCACCGGCATTGCCTTGTTCCTGCGTCTCTCACAAAAACCCCGAAGCCTGTCAGAAAAGCTGCGTCTGTTTGACTATCCCGGCTCGCTGCTATTCATTGCCTCAACGACGACCTTCCTGATATCAATTACCTGGGGCGGCACCCAATATCCTTGGTCGGGGTGGCAAACCCTTGTCCCTTTGATCCTCGGCGTTATAGGCATTGTCCTATTCGCCATATATGAATTTGGCATTTCTTCATCCAAGCTGCCGCAAGCTCGTCTCATTCCTTCATCCATCTTCGCCAACCAATCAGCCTGCATCGGCTACGCGTCGAGTACTGTGCATGGTATGGTTGCATACAGTTTACTATATTACATGACAGAGTACTTCCAAACCGTCAAGATGTACAGCCCCGTCATCGCTGGTGTCGCAAGCCTTCCCCAGAGTTTGACAACTGCTCCATGTGCGGTTGTCGTCGGCATCATCGTCGCCGGGACTGGCAAGTACAGGTGGGCATTGTGGGCTGGCTGGTCTCTCGTTTGCTTGGGATGTGGCCTGCTCGTTCTCTTGGAGACACGCACAGCGGTTCCAGAATGGATATTCCTGGGAGCAGTTTCTGGGCTGGGCCTTGGTCTCTTGTTTCCGTCCATTAATCTTGCCATTCAGGCCTCTGTGCCTCAGCAGGAGGCTGGGATTGCCTCAATACTGGTACTTTTCTTTCGTTTGCTAGGTCAATCACTGGGCGTTGCCATTGGCGGTACTATATTCGACAACCAACTTCGAGCCAATCTCAAAATCAGTGGCGAAAACGCACCATCAAGCATCATGGTATTGATGGAGAGGCTTCATCAACTGGCGCCAGATGATCCAATATCTTTGGATATACGAAATGCATTATCAAGGTCATTTCGCGTAATCTGGATCGTCATGTGCGCTTTGGCAGGACTGAGCCTCCTTTTGAGTTTCCTGATGAAGGAGTATGACATGGATCAAGAGCATCAATCAGATCAAGTATTTCTGCTCGAAGATATGGGTGATCCGGCCCCAGGGACGGACGGAGAACAGTCGAGTCGTATATGAGGGGGGACACTCAGCTTCTACATGTAATATTCCAAGCCTTAGTTTGCACCAGAGTTCAGATAGACGCAGTTTAATGGTGGCTGCAAGCCGCTCTTCCATCACTCAAAGTTTTGCCATCGGGGATTTCCCAGCTTCCGGGTCATCCCAATTTGAGGCAATCGTTTTCCAGTACTCATCACTGTGATCCCGCACCAGAGCACAATGCGGACTGCCATTAAACGCAACCCCTTCGGCCTGGAGGCCTTGCTGCGTCCTCGCATCATCAATGTGAGCTTCCACGTCTTCCCATCTCACTACCCGATCTGCCTTCGAATACAGATAAAGTCTTCTTGCAGTTCCTAGTACAGCTGGGTCGTTTAAATGAGCCCTCAAATGCCTCACTGACCTCATCAGACCCGCATTTTGAAGGCCGGTGATTATTGCAATAGTTGGATACAGCAGGTTTTGGCCCACGAGGCGAGTGGGAAGGGCATTCGGCAGAGAATAAGTTACGGCCCCGTACGCATTCTCGAATCAAGCGTCTCCCAGACAATAATCCAAGACGAATAGTCCAACATGTTTGGAAAGATCTATATCGCTGCGCTGGCCGTGTAAGCTGAGAGCCATCTGTATAGCACTGTCCCATCCACCATGCGAGAAGATGTGCCACAGAATCGAAGGCTGTTCTGTCTCTGCCTCGATATACTGTATCACGATACTTCGAGCCGGGGCAAGTCGAGCATGCAATACACTAAACGGAAGAGTAGTTATCTCGAGGGAACCGGGCAGTGATGAACAAGATTGATGAGTTGGGATATAAAGATGAGTATCCATCGAGGTATTTCTTGATGCGATGCGGCGTTGCACCACCCAGCCAGGTACATAGAACAATGAGCCTCGGGCAGTTTCCAGCGCTTATTACTGAATCTGAGCGTCGAGATATGTAGTAAATGCCTTGTCCTATTGCCTCAAGAGGCCAGAAGACTGTCGAGGAAGACATTTAAAAAGCAAGTGCTCACGAGGCGTAAGATGCTATAGGCTCGATATGCTTCATTCCAATAGTTAAGTACAGCAGAAGAGTTAAACCATTGATTTAAAAGGTATTTAGCTGTTGGGAGATTGTGCTGGGGATACGCGCATCCTTCAACATTTTGTTGGGTCTACTTAGTCTTGGGCTGTCGTCCCGGTAAGAGAGACTCCACCTTCTCAAATGCAGCATAAACACATGTTCTCACCTCTGATTATGACTCTTGAGAGGATATTCCAAACACTGTGGGTTGACTCACTTTCAAGTGACTTGTAATTGCTTGGATACCAAGCTTCAGTGTCCATAATGGCATGGGGCCACGTCTGTATAACCCCGTGCTTGGCATTGTTCTTGCCTCCAAGTATGCGGCAACACAATGAAAAGATGTTGAACCAGAAATATTGTCATAATGTGCGATATTATATCTGACAACTCTTGATTATTGTGCAGAGCTTGCTCAGACGAAGTGTGGGCATATTTTCCCCAAGGCGGCTCTTGGATCGTCCCTCAGATCGCATTCAGCACTCATGCGAGCGAAATCCGACGTGCGCCAGGGAGCTAACTTTTGCCATGGGCACTTTTCAAAGCCGGAAAATGATCGATGGACGTTATTTTAAGCCTAAGGCAAGGCCCCATCCTACATGCTTGGCGTATCCTCCTAACGATGGGGACTTGATCAGTTGTCAAATATTCTATCTGGGTCTTTGTAGTTCACAGGCACAGCATTCTTAGATCCATCGATAATCTTTCACTCCAAGTAAATCCATGGGCCCGGATTCTTTTCCGTTCTTTAAATGAAAGCGTAACCCCTCTCGTCACACATAATATTCGACGTGTGACATTGTGTGATGATGTCTCGATTTTCCTGCAGTTGATAAAAAAAAGGAAAACAAACAAACAAAGAAAATTCGTCTTGCGAGCCACTCATCATCATTGCGCAAAATCCGGCTCCGAGAGTCTCTTTTGATGAGAACAGGTCAAGTCTTTCTTCAACGGCAACTCGCATTCTGCAAACACGGCTCAGCTGAAATGAGACCAGATCTGCTATCGAGTGGAGATGGAGACTATTCAAGGATGTGAGCCTGCAAGGGGGGCAACTGCATTGCTAGGCCCCGGCATTTCGTCAAAGTGGCTCCCTCGATTCCTTCGAAAGGCTGGGCGCCAATAAAGACGTGGAAATAGTATCACCACATCTGGGCACCGACGTGGCTGCTGTAGTGCCACTGGTCAAGTGTTTGGCTTCGGGGGTAACCATCATGCTCTGTCTCTTAGTGCTGCTGAAGCCGACTCATGGGGTGTGCTGAAAGAATACGATACAGGCGCCGCTACCATGACGGAGAATGAGCGTCAAATGCGGCGATATCTTTGTCCTACCCACCTGGATCCTCCTGGAGCTCGAATCATTCATTCGGCGGTGAGTATACTGCTCAATGGATGAACGGGGTAGTGGTGAGTCGGCGTCCCTGGAGTCTTCAATGTTTCTATTCACAGTTGGAATGCAAGGGTCACCGTTGTGCTGTAGTATTGACAATCATGGAAAGCAGGCAGCCTCGGTCATTCGGTTCGCGAAAGGCAAAGATGGCAACCAGTTTTTACGATGCTCATACTTGTACGTCGTCATGGGTCGGCATATGCACGGCGCGGCTACTTTGGTTAGGACGATTTGCGTTTCCCATGGCAGTTTCGCATGCTGCTGACAATGGAGGATCGCCTTGGACGAAAGCAGCTTCCACCAGCTCGGACATGCAGAGACAGGGGTCCATGTTTCCAAAGTTACGAGTATCTGTAACAGTAAGGAAAACGGCGCGCAACGCAGTGTCAAGGCAATCGTGGTCCCTTTGCCGAGGGGGCAGCTGGGGGCAAGAAACCCACCAAATCGTGCAGACACGCAGCCAGCCAGCCACTCGGGTCTTTCGCCGTGTGGCCGCACAAGTTCCCTCTCCGTCACTGTCGCTGTCGCTTGACGAAGCATCGGGCATTGCTGCCTTACTTTGACAGGAGGTTCAAGCATGCAGAGTGTGATGGAGGCGCGCTGTCCAGAACCTCTATATTCATGCACCCGGCGTTGGGTGAGTTGTCAGCCCCGTCACCACTAAGGACTGAATTGACGCCGAGATTGCGGTTGCCGCCCGCAGACCAGCCGGTGAGTCCGAATGTGAGACACTAACAGCCCTTGTAGAAGTACCTAGTGGTGGTGTGTGAAACTGTTGTCGAATAGGAGAGAACTGGTGGCTCAACAATGTAGGTGCTCGCACGGCAGAAAAAGCATCTCAGCCGGCAGCAACTCCCGCCGGTAGCACTCACATCTTTGGACAGGTATGATTGAACCAGAAGGATCTGCTTCCACTCGTTTATCGACAGCGGTAGCAGCATTGGCATTCTCGATATACGGATAGTGCTTGTATAGACCAGAAATTGGTCTCAGGAGACCGGGCAGTCAGTCTCCTGGGCTCCCTCTGCTTTGCTTCTGCTTGGTGGTGTTGGCAGATGGATCCATCCGTGGGCGCCCCCTCTCACCCCACACGGCCATAATTTGCGGGAATGGGGAGCAAAGCAATCAGCATCGTCTGCTAGACCGCCGTTAGACGTGGCTCACAGTGAAAGGCTCAGAAGCAGACTGATAAGTGGTGCGCCGAGACGGACTCACCATAGCCCAAGCCTTGTCCCTTCACGTGGCATCAATACAGTGACTTGGGTGCTTTTCCCTTACTCAATGGGGATGTAGACATCATCTTACTTGTGCACCTGCCGCTCTGACGCCGCCTATCAGGCACGGCCTGAGAGGCCTTGCATATGCAGGCAAGCCGACAAAAGTATGGAGCAGAGATCTTGATGTCACATCCGACACGTTTGGGCGGCTCCGAGTGGATGTCTTGGTCTGTAACAGGACTCCGTGTTTATGCCGGCAAAGCGCAAGCCGTCAGCTGTTGCAGTCTGGCTGTGAGGATGATGGACAGGACCATGGCGAGAGGGTTTCGGGCCGTAACGGTGGCTGCACGTCATTGCTTCGTGGCCGTCATTACATGAGGTGTCTTTTGACGGACGCCTTTCCCTTCATCGCATCACGTCGGTGCCATGTCTCCAGGACCAACTCGCTCTGCCGCCAACTGCTCAATCAATGGACTGGACGGTTTTGTTCACCTGGACAGGGGTGTCCTTGGTCCTTGCTACTAGTATCATAGCCTTGGAGCTCCTCACAGACCGCCTGGTGGTCTCATGGACCATTTGATGTGCTAAGGCCAGTCTAACCTGAGCTAGAGGCGTAGGCTTTTTTGTGATAGCGGCCGCAACGGTTTAGAGTTTCGAGGACTGTTCACGATGGCACACGGCTGTCGGTTGTGCTTTTCCATCCTTTGCTGGAATTGCCTTAGCAAGGTGATGGTGGTTGTTTGGATGTGGAAGAGGGAAGAAGCAGAGACTATTGGAAATGTACCATGGCAGCTTGATGCCTGAGGATCTAAGGCAGAGTACAGGTACAAGAGCTTGATGGTCTCGACGTTATCTGCACGTGTCCAGGCCAGGCACTCGATGCCTCGTAATAACAGGGATTGGGGGTGAAAACGCTCCAGCCTAATATCAACCTAACTTGAAGAACAAAGCGGCAACAAAGTCCGTGGCAATTACTGCAAACATCAAGGCAACAATGCAAGACTCTGTACGAGTACTCGTAACCACTGGTTCACAAATAGAAACATTGGTCAAATTGGATGTCCACCGAGTGTTGCATCAACTGAACAACCTTGAAAGAAGCCTCCACTGTACGACGGCACCTACAAAGAAAGCCCCGAGCACCTTGGTGGCCAGGTAGGCACCCTGGTAGCCAGGTCAGGTACAGCACGGTACCTGTAGAGACAAACACACCAGGCGAGACGTGCATATCAGGAGCAGGGCCCAAGTAGGTACTCGACTCGTACATGTACCCCAGCCGGGTGCATGAGATGGCGACAGGGTGCGAGGCCATTTGCGTCGTACTGCCCGAGCTCAAAGAGCTTCACCAGGTACAGGTACAAGAACAAAGCACAGGCAGCACCGAGCTTTGAGCAGAGCTGCAGGCTTCATTCATTTCTCCGCGCCAGATCCGGATGCCGGAGTGTGTGTGTGTGTGCGGTGGACAGGGGCAGAAACGAAAAGGAAAAGAAAAAAAGAAAAAAAGAAAAGAAAAAGGAAACAAAGCTCAACAAACCACAACAAACCACAGAGGACAGAGGCTGGATGTCCTCCACGTTCAGCCGTCAGGGCTGCGTATCAAAGAGGCAGGTCAAGCTATAAGAATCAGCTTCTGGCTGGGTCCATCCGTCTTTTCCTGCCCGGCCTCTCCATCGTTGTTTTCGCATTGGATCCAGTTGCTTTTCCGGCATCGCCTCTTGCATCGCCAACTGCTCCAGCAAGCTCGCCTGGCAGATTCCTGCCTCAGCTCCGTCCTCGTTTTCAGCTCGAAATAAAGCAACGCGCCTTCTGTCATTGTTGAGCCTCGTTTCTGCTTCCGTTTTCTCTTCTTCTTCTTGGTCCTTGCCTCGGTATCGCTGGGTTGCACCTCGCAACGGCACACGCCATACACCATCACGTCCGCCGCTGCATCTCCTCGTTCAAGTCAAAATCACAGCTCTTGTCTTCCGGCACTTCAGTTCGCCTCATACTATACTCGCACGCTACTGCAGGTAGCCCTTCTGGCCGGATCTTTGCTGTCAGCCAAGTTTTGCTTCTCTCCCTTTCCAGCCAAATCCAGCTGTTCCGTCTTGTCACGGCTGTTTCGACAGCATCTAGAAGACACAGGATCCCTGTCTTTCTCACGCTTGTTTATCCCAAACTCGGCCCTCCAATCTCGACTTTGGCCCTGATCTACGTCCCACCCGCGATCTACATCTGCGACAGCGCTAGGCCGTTTCCATCTGTCAAGGGTTCCAGCATCTACAGCAGCTAGCTCTTGGCCCAAGATGGCTGTTGTTGCTGGCGAGGGCGCAGTCCTGGTAGCTCTCAAGTACTTGTATCCGGCTCTTGTCTTTCTCTACTACTTGGCCTCGTCCGTCTTAGCCTCTTGCACTCTGCAGGCTCTTAAGAAGACTGAGGATGCGCAGCCGGAGCGTCCTAGTCGACGGGCCGTCATCTATATACTTGGATTCTTCCTTTCGACATACGGGGCCCAGCTCATCACACTCGGCACGCAGTCAGTAATCACAAGGTCTGCCCCCCTTGAACACCAGGTCATCAACTACTTGTCGTGCATTCTCGTCTTCGGTATTCTGTGCATCCAACTCATCGAGTCGGACACAGTTGTATGGTTTCCATTCCGTGGATCGTGGTTTATCGCGCTGCTCTTTGAGCTTGCCATCGCAATCTTGACGGCCGTCAATTCAAGACAAGCTAACCTCAACCCCTATGATATACTCCATATAGCCTTCTTGTGCTTGAGGCTTGCTTCACTCGTCATTCTAGTGGCTTGGACTTGCCTTGCTTTATGGACCAACTCCAACCCTTCTTTGTTCGACGAAGAAACACAGCCACTTCTGCCACCTGATGGTGAACAACCTGATGCTCAGGCAGCCACTGGGGAGCCTGCCAATAGCTCCAGTTATGGGTCGACAACGCAAAGCGACTCTGATGAGACCTTTTGGGAAAGAAGAGAAAGAGAAGGTAGAGCCGAAGTGGAGAAGAGACTTCAGGAAGGCGGAAACTGGGTTGAATACGTCAAAGGCTTCAAGGTATGTAATCCTATCTCAACCCTTGACAGTTCATGCCTACAGGCGTTACGTCTTTGCTCATACAATATTGACCCTACAACCTGGATTACTCATCACAAGGCTCTTCCCCTGGGCGCTCGAGACCACTCAAGAATTGTGTATCTGCTTTAGCTAACATGATTCCCTGCTTTAGATTTTATTGCCGTATGTTTGGCCTTTGGGAAACCGCAGTCTACAGCTACGAGCAGTGGCCGTTTTGCTCTGCATGTTGGCTTCGAACGCAATCAATGTGCTTATTCCCCGACAGACGGCCATAATCATGGACACTCTCAATGGGAAACCCGGTAATCCATGGACAGCCGTCATCAATTTTGCACTTCTACGGCTGTTGGCTTCAGCTTCTGGTGTTGACCTTATCCGCCAGTGGTTGTGGCTACCTGTCAAACACTTCTCACGGGAAAGCTTGTCCCGAGCCTCTTTTTCTCATGTGATGAAGCTGTCTGCTGATTTCCATGACTCCAAAAACTCATCAGACATGATCATGGCTATGAATGGCGGATACTCCATCACAAACGCAATTGAAAATCTTTTGTTTCAAACCGTCCCAATGTTGATCGACATGTGCATCGCCATCGCCTACCTCTCCGTCAAATTCGGCCCATACGAAGGCTTGATAACTGTGGCTACCGGGATCGTCTTCATAACACTTGCAGCCCGCCTCGTAGCTAACACCAAAAATAGCACTCGCAAACGCATCAAGGCTCTCACCAAAGAAAATACCATTCGTTACGGCGGGTTGACTTCGTGGCGGACCGTCAATATGTTCAACCAGATCGTTTACGAGGACAACAGGCATGCTGATGCAGTAACGGCTCGATGGCTTTCTGAGACGCAATTCCAAATTGCATGGCTCTTGTCCACTTCGTTGCAGACCATCGTTCTCACTGCCGGCCTCATGGCAAGTGCATTCCTCGCCGTCTTTCGCATTCGTAGTGGGCAAGCATCACCGGGCCAGTTTGCAATGCTTCTCATGTACTGGACTCAGCTCACTGCACCACTGCAATTTTTCGCCTCACTTAGTAAGGGCATGAGCGATGATTTCATTAGCGCGGAACGCCTCCTGGCCATTATGAAGGCCAAGCCTTCGGTTACGAACAAACAGGGTGCACGGCCTCTCAAGTTTCAACGGGGAGATGTTCACTTGGATCAAGTTTGCTTCGGTTATGATAAGCGGAAGAGGATCGTCAACGGCATCAGTCTAGACGTTCCGGCGGGAACGACGGTGGCCTTTGTGGGCTCAACTGGAGCGGGTAAATCGACGCTGCTCAGGCTTCTCCAAAGGGACTACGATGTCACCTCGGGCAGCATCCGGATCGACGGTCAAGATCTTCGCGATGTTGATATCTCCAGGTAAGTCCTTGACTCAAAGGTATTGGTTGCAGTGCTCCTGCAACAGCGCTGACTCGTTTTCTCTAGCCTACGCGAGCGCATTGGCTACGTTCCCCAAAGTCCACTGGTTTTTAATGACACCATCATGAACAACGTACGCTATAGCAGAATCACCGCAACGGACGAGGAGGTGTTTGCAGCATGCAGAGCCGCGCGTATTCATGATAAGATCTTGGGTTTTGCGGATGGTACGTAATACGACGACGAGTCTCGCTGCGGTACCATGTGTTTGCTAACCTTGTGCGTGACTAGGCTACGAATCGGAGGTTGGCGAACATGGAGTGTAAGTTTGCCGTTGTTGTATCCCCTATGAGATTTTTGAGCTAACGACAGCAGCAAACTTTCCGGTGGAGAGCTTCAACGTCTTGCAATTGCCAGGGCGCTCCTGAAAAACCCCGAGATTGTTCTTTTGGACGAGGCTACAGCCGCTGTTGATAATGTTACTGAAAAACATATTCAGAAATCAATAAATGCCCTCTGCAAAGGACGCACTACATTCGTTGTGGCGTAAGTTCCCTCTTCTTCCCCCCAGGTCTGTAATAGTTACTAACCCATCATTTCGTGCTCAGTCATCGACTTTCTACCATCAAAGGAGCGGGCGTCATTGCTGTTGTGGAACACGGTCAGATCATCGAGAAAGGTACTCATGATGAGCTGATTGCCTTGCGCGGTCGATACTTTGAACTGGCGTCAGACAACTTCCAGGAAAGGGAGGACAGCGATGACCAGGCCAAGGTGCTTGACGACGCAAATACTCTCGCCAACGATTCTTGCTCCGAGAGAACCACCACTGAGACGTGCAAGACACATGGTGAAGACGGTCAGGCCAAAGTACCGCCAGAAAGCGATGGCAAATCAGCAACAGGCAAGAGGTGTCAGAAGGAGGTAGATTCTGACATAAATTCGAGTGCTGCAGAGAATACTGACGGATCCTGTTAGGGGTCCCGATTGAATCCTGTGGCCCCTGAATTTACACCTCGGTCGATGGCGGCAACAGCGGCGAATTCCGGACCCAAGACGGCATCTGAAAGTAAGTCGACTACACCTTCGGCCATTGGCAAGACCAGGACTTGGGCAGTCACCGGCCACCCTAGCAAACTTCGATGGTCCGATGAAGTGTCCATCATGGACGAGCGCGGGACGAGCAGTACGCCCAAGAGCCTGTCTACTGAGTCAAGCCGCCGCCTCGGGGCAAAAGATAGTTCTGAGAGCAGTTTCACCGCATCAGAGCTCCGCGCGTCGGAAACGATGCCCGCGGTGATTGGTATCCAAAATCCAGGCATCAAACCACTCCCGATGGGCGGAAAAGCCAAACCGAATAGCATCGAGGCTTCCGGACGAACTGCCCTGCCCTCACTGGCACGAAGGTCCCCAGAGTCCATCGCAGAGACAGCCGCTGTCCCTTCTAACATTGGCAATGTGGTTTTCATGCGGCCGCGCTACTCCCGCCGCATCCAGTCAAAGAGCGAGCCTGTTCACAAGTCTCCAAAGCCAGAATCTGCTAAATGTAGCGAGCCATCCGCAAAATCAACCGACACCAATACCGTATGTGTAGTAACAAAGTTTCAGAGATGAAAGCTTATATACCTGACTAACTCATCGAATAGGAGCAATGTCGTGTGTCTGCTCAAACGGCCCAAAGCAGCAGTCCAGCAGCACCTTCCATGATTCCTAGGCCTGGCAACAGAGCCTCGCCCACTGTGAGACAGCTTCCGATTCCTCCACGGCACTCGAGTGACGGGAAGTGCGGCACATATCCAACTCCGGCGCCCAAAGACAACTCCGGGCGAGCATCAGAAGGAATTCTCTCCGTCACAAAAGATAAAGAAACGACAAGTGTTGTAGCAGCCAGCACTGCCAAAAACGAAAACCATCCGCTGCCAAAGATGGGTGAAAATCAGTCAATTATGATGACCTCTAGCCGAGGCGGTCGAGCCATCCGACGCCCACGAGCCGGATCTCTTCGCGGACGCCGAGGCCGCATTTCTCGAGGCCCCGTGGGGCCTGGGAGCCAAGAATAGAAGATGGGGGATGGAAACAAAAACAAGATTTTTAAAAAAAAAATTGCCTTGAGCTGACCAGGCGCTTTCCGACGCAATATCATTTTGGTTTGTATAGATATCATCATATGAATACTTGTTTAGCATACCTAGACAAGTTTTACGACGTACATGAGTTATGGGGAGGACTTGTACGAATAGCATGAAACAGGGGGGAGGCTCAGTGAAGCCTGATAGTTGGAGACAAAAGTTATGAGAGAAGAAGCGTCAAGGAGACGCCAGAATACCACTGCAGTTTCATAAGGTACATGTATACACTAGCGGTTGACTCAGGTGGCACCTTGTTTTGGAGCAGGTAAAGATAGAAACAGTGCGAGCATAATTATAACGGAAATCGAGTGCTTCGTTTACAGCTCTCTCTATTTACAATCATTAACCACGCTTTGGTTATTTGCGCCCGATACTCAGTCATATCTAAACGAAGACGTAGGCCCCATTCTCTCTCATGTTTTTCTCGTTCTTCTCTTGAAAGCCCATAACCGTGATGCCACATTGCCACACCTCTTTGCAACTGCTGTTCCGTCTCTTGGGATGTTTGTGCTCCTCTCCATACAAAGTCAAGAGTCGCTTTACCGTCCTGCACCACCGGAGCCGGGAGCGCCTGGAGCGCCACCGCCACCGCCCATCATATTCCGTGCCCTGTGAGGGTTTGTATGATTAGAATAAATGCTCTTTTTTTTCTCTTATGGTCGAATATACTGGATAAAATGGATAAAAACACTTACATCTCAGCAATGTTGGGGTCAGACATTAGAGAGCCGAGGTCGGGCATGCCGCCTCCGCTGCTGAACTGGTTGGCCATGTCACGCAGGCGCGGGTTGCTCATGAGGTTGTTCATCAGGTCGGGGTTGCTCATGAGGCTCTGAGCCATGTTGGCGAACATGGGGTTGCTCATGATGGAGCCCAGGTCGGGCATGCCACCGCCACCGGTGCCGCCGGCGCCGCCGAACATGGAGGCGAGGTTGCTGAGGTCGGGCATGCCGCCGGCTCCGGCGCCGGGGCCGGCGCGGGAGAGGTTGTCCTGGGCCTGGTCGGACTCGAGCTCGTCGACGCGGCGCTTGGCCGTCTCGAAGCCCTTCTTCATGGCCTCGGAGCCGCCGTTGCCCTCGTACTCGATGCCCTGGCGGTAGGCGTCCATGGCGCCCTTGGGGTCGCCGAGGGCGAAGCGGGCGAGGCCCAGGCGGGACCAGGCCTTTGTGTAGGAGGGGTCGATGGCGACGGCGGCCTCGGCGTCGATGCGGGCGGAGGCGTGGTCCTTTGCGGCGGAGTGGGCGGCAGCGCGGTTGGACAGGAAGACGGCGTTGGAAGGGTGCAGGCCGAGGGCCTGGGTGTAGAGGTCGATGGCGCCGGCGTAGTCCTTCTGGGCCATGGCGGCGTTGCCCTTTGACTTGAGCGACTCGGCCTCCTTCTTCTGGGCTTCGGAGGGTTCAGGGACGGAGGAGGAAGAGGGAGAAGAAGATGATGCGGCACCGGCGGCGGGGGTAGCGGCCGGGCTCGCGGCGGCCTTGTCCTTGGCCTGGAGCTTCTCGTAGACGGCGAAGACGTCGAGCAGCTTCTGGGGGCCAATGGCGGCCTTTACGGCGGCGTCGTCGCTGGGGTCGACCTTGAAGGACTCGGCGATGCAGTTGATGGCCACGTCGATGGAGTCTTTATCCTCGGCGGTGAGGGTGCCGTCCGTCGTTGACGTGGTCAGGAAGTCGCAGATGGCGAGCGCGAGGCGCTGCTTGGGAGTTTGTTGGGCGGCCTGGTGAAAAGAGAGAGATTTGGGTCAGCACGTTTTTCTTCTAAACGATCGTGATTTCAAAGAGATTCTTTTTTTTTTTTCTGTGGTTTTGTCATAGCATGTCGGTGTTTCTTTTTCTTCTTCTCGATTTGCCCCCAACTCCGGACCGGAATTCTGGGCTTCAAGCGGGGTGTATGAAATGGATGATGGAGGGGAGAATCGTCGGTTTTTGCGTACCATGGCTGACGGTTTCGTTTGTTCTATCGGGCGCGCGAGAAGCGCAAAAAGGTAGAAGGAAACGGAAGAAGAAGAAAAAAAAGAATACAAGAGGAGATGGACGATGTTCTCTAAAATCCAGACGGGCGAGGAAAACTTGAGAGGCAAAAAAAAAAAGATGATCGGCGGAAAAGGGAGTTTCTGGAGAGAGAAAGAGTCCAGCCGAAAGGGACCCCGCGGATGTCTAGGTTAGGCTGTCATGGATTTTGGGGGGCACCCAAAGTGGCAAAGCGCATTGGCTGAGGCGCTGGAATATTCCTTTTTGTCTTTTTAATTGGTTTTATTTTCTAGTAGGTACGTACCATTTCGATAGAGCGGGCAAATATTAACATCACATGCATCAACTATTGGCAAAGGAGCGTCTTCTTGATACAGGGGAGCAGGGCAGGGTCACGTACTTAACAGAGCGGGCATTAACAACATAAGAGCAGCAAAAGTGAATTCCTTCAGCCTGTAGCCGTTATACATACATGGAACCGCTATATCAGCACTGCGAATGATGTAATATATCGGCCATGATCAAAAAGCGAAAAGAGGCCTCTCCCGCCCAAACATCTCAAGTAGACAGTCCCAGTCTAGAAAAAATAAAAGAAATGCGAAAGTTGTGTGTGGTTCCGCAGGTTAGTGAATAGCAATGCCCTGCCTTTGAAAGTCCGCCCAAAAAACTCCATCCCAATATGCCCCCCATGTTTCCCATGCTCGCTGCAATCTTTGACGCAGAACAAATCGCAATAACAAGCCACTTTCCAAATATACCACCGTTTACTTTCTCCGTCGTGGTCGATCTACATTCTTCACCTTCCGGTTCTGCATGGCTGCGACCTGGCGAGACTTGCTGTACACCCTGATGACATCGTTCAGGACGATGTAGAGGCACCCGCCCACCAGGCTGCGCCCCCATTGCTGCTGCAACAGGCCAGGCCGGCCTGACGGTGATGGCCCAAACAGCCAGTGGTTCCTAGACGGCGCTGTTGTCCAAGATCGAGGGAGAATCAACCGCAAAGCTTCGCCCATGGCAAAGGAGATGCCTGGCAAAAGGAGGGCCCCGACGATGGAGTTGGACACGTTTGACAGGAGACCGCCGAGTCCCATCCTCCTTGCTGGTGGCGCTTGGGGTGCCTCGCGTTGGTTTTCCTGCGGGTGCCCATTGGCATTGTCCTCCTGAGCCTGGTCCCAGCGCACATGGCCATTTTGCTCATCGTTGGCCGGCCCGTTCAAATCAACTGCGTCTTCAATGACCTCCTCGATGAGAAGTTCAACCCTGATCTCGTCTCCCTCTTCCCGCTGCTCTAGTCGAATCTCATGCTGAGCCCCTGCTCGCGCCTCGCCGCCACCGTTATTAGCCCCGGCGGCGGGATCCTCCTCGTCAGGATCCAGCACATCAAGAATGTTTTGGAGAAGGCCGATGAACCCACCCTCTCCGTTGCGCTCTAGATCCTGCCGATTGTGAGCACCATCGGCCTCTTGCTGTGGGTCGAGGGGCGGGAGCCCCGAGATTTGTCGGTTGAGCCTCACTTCGTACGGCATGACAAAGTCTCTCCAGAAGCTAAAGTACATCTTGCGAATGATGGGCAGTGCCACCATGGCCATGCGGGGAGACGGTGGCCACTCCAAAAAGTTGTCATTTCGAATCATGCTGTAGATCCCATACTAGCAAAGGCTCCAATGTTAGCATCGCACTGTCGGGAATGTCATCATTGGTGAAATAGACTCACAATAGATGCACTCTGCATAAAGTATCTGTTAGTAAGACCTGGTAGCAGCTGGCTGATGAGCAGTGTCGGCGCCACGTTCATCAAAATCAGGGCATTGACTATGCGCTCTTTGGCAAACCTCAGCGCTCCAGGCGATCGCCCGTCGATGAGCATATCAGGTCCCAGGGCGAACTGAAGCAGCGCCTCCTTGCCGGCAAACGTCCACAACGCCATGGCGCCGTACATTTGCAGGCTAAACTGAACTCCCACCGACACCCCGGTCAAGAGGATGAAGGGGCTCGCGCGAGTGAATTTGCGCTGTATGGCGTCGTGCAGAGAGGCGACGGGGTCCCACGGACCGTCCATCTCGATGGCGGACTTGCACACCGGGCACTTGAGCGGCTTGTTGGACCGCTCGCAGTCCGTCACCCATGAGAGCATGCAGTCTTGGTGCGCCTCCAGCGTGCATGGGCACGGGTCAACCCACGAGCCTGGGGGATCCGAGGGCTCCTCGTCGGTCAAGCAGATGAAGCATCGTCGCGGCGCATCCGACGGGCGATCGGCGATGGCGGCCTGGATGGCTGCGGACGAAGTGGTGGGCTCGGCCTTGGCCGACAAGTCCATGCTGTCGACGCTCTCCCGAGTTTCTTATCGAGGCTGTTGTAGGATTGTTCGCGATCTATTAGATTTCGGGTCGTGGCATCTTCTGCGCTGGGCGGGAACACGCGGCGGGGATGGCGCTGGGCCAGAGGAAAGCGGCCGCTCAACTGATAGGGTAAATACAAAGGAACAAGGTGGCGCAAGTTGGTGATCGAGCAAGCTACGGCGTACTCGTGGCTATAGAGGCGTGTCGCGGGTTTGGTTTGGTCGTCTGGACATCGGTGGGTTGGCAAAAGCCGCTCCAGGCGTGACGAGCTTCTCCAACGTGAGGATTGATGTCAGAGTGGCCCACCCAGCGCTGCCCAGCCCAATCAAAGGCTCCAGGTGTTTGTTTTAGTGCTCTCGGCACCATCCCGTGGATACGTACAAGTACCGCCTTCAGGGAACGCTGCATTAGCACTCGGCAGATGGAGCACTGACGGGCTATTTAGTCTATAAGCCGGGGAATACGATTTTGATGAATGAATATATATATTTATATACTACAAGTATATGTTAGTAGGTGGAGGGGCAGATTCTGGGCAAGGACTTGAAAGTGTACGAGCGCGGGCAAAATATCTCAACAGCCTTGCATTTACATGTAGAGTCGCTACCCTACACACACCCGAGATGAGGGTGCGCTGGCCTGCATTGCATCAAATCTCCAGCCGTGTAGATGCGGTGTATCATACCTTACCCATCCACCGTCTACGTGTAGATTCTCCTGATGGAGATACTTGGATCTACTCAAAGATACAGTATTTCTAGTAGGTTAGTAGGTAGCTTCCCTACATCCTTCACGTGGAGATATTTCAGGGCTCTATGATGTCGGGTGGCATTCAACATTCAGCACCAAGTCAGATAGATAGCAGCAACTGTAGTAGTTTGAAAACCAATCTCTGTTGTTTGAATTTGATGTATTTATTTAATTTCCCCATTGTCTCCTCCGCTGTTCCCCCACGCAAATGTCCCAGTCGTCACAACTCCATAAAGTCGTGCAGTCTTGTTCGGCCCATGCGATGGCAGCTCGTTGCTCACACGGCGTCGCAGAGGAACGTCAGATCGAATAAAGAGTCGTCGCCCGGTTTATTTGTGCTGTGGACAGATCAATCAGCGATGCCTTCAACCATCTCAGCAGCGTTAGTTATCACTCACAGGGCAGCCAGAGCAGGTGCAGCTAGAGCCGCAGCCACAGGAGCCAGATTCAGCACATCCGCAACCGCCCATGATGTTGGTATTGTGTGGGTATGTGGTGGAAAGAAGTGGTGATTGATTGAATGCTTGGTTCAAAGTAGAGCTTGAAACTGCTTTGCAAGGTGTTAACTAGAAATAGGCCCCAGGGGAATGGGCGGTCAGCTCCAGCTTTATATAGCCACAGCACAGCAAGTTAAGTTTGAGCTACGCTAGATGGACAATCTTATTGCCCAGCACAGCACACAGTGCATCACTTGCCCCTCATCAGCTGCCCACTGGACCCCTCATTCTGGGCGCTTTTTATGCCTCCCTACGGAGTACAGCCCTGGAGTCACGGCGGAATCGAGAGAGAAGCACGTAGAAAGACGTCTATGGCGTTGCAAGGCCCGGCCAACAGAGGGTCCTAAGCTCAACACTGGGGATTTCCGCCTCATCTTTTCCAACTTTAACTTTCTTTTCTTTTTTCTCTCTCCTTCTTCCCCTCTCCTCGACTCGGCCCTGGTCCAGAAATAGAGGAGATCGGATGGGTCTGCGAGATACGTGTGGAGATGGAAGATTCGATTTGCCAGTCCAGCGCAGTCCAGTGGGACAAGCTCGCTGTTAGCGCCGAATCCCATCGGAGCATCGCCAACGTGGCCACTCCCTCCTTGCGCCGGACTGTGCGACTTGAGTGAGCCTTCTTCAGCAGGTTTTTTTTACGTCGCAAACGGCGGGAGGGAGAGTGACGTTGAGGATTTGTGTGCGACTGCGACTTGGTGAGGCGGATAGAGTTGGCTCTCAAAGTGCTAACCTACAGTGCACCGCAGATCTCGGCCTTTGTGGCGACGAGGCGAGAACTTGCCAATGTTCCAGTACTACCTACCTTGTACTGTACTGTACCTCGTATCTCTGTCTTACTCCCGGTATACCGTCATTCGCCCTGGAGCATCCAATCAATCTCTTTCTCTTTTCCCGTCTGGACCCAGTTCGGTATTGGCCGGTATCGTCAGTCTCCAGCCAACCGGCGCGTCAGATATCATCGGCAATCGGAACGATCGACAATCAGCCTTGTCCATTGACAGTTGCAGGTTCCCGGTTCTCCTTAATCTTGTCGTTACACAACATGACGCTCAAATGATTAATTGCCTTACCACTGCCACTCCTCCGTACGATATGCTCTCGTAACAGGTACTCCGCGATGATGATGTTGGCGCAATCCTCGCCTCGCCTCGCTTGTGTCTGCTATACCAAGCACTCGATGCACTAAACAAATTGCCAGGTCTAGCATAATGCTGTCCAGCCGTCATCGTGTTCGCTTCATGTCTCATTATGACGCCCCCCCCCCCCCCCCCAAAAGATGCGTGTACGAGGCATGAGTAAACCCATCACATGTCTCGATAAGCTCTTACCAATCTCACAAGGGACGCCTTAATTTAGCATCTCGCTCAGCTCTCACGCCGCTATTCCAGGGACCGTAAGCATCCCGACGGCAGGGATGGCCAGCAAAAAACCGCCGACCTTCCACTTGGACATCGTGGCTTAATTCAAGGATAACTACTGCAACTCCGTGAAACGTACGTCTGGCCATGCTTGGCTGGCAGGGAAGCCAGCATTTTCGAAGCTCAAAGACGGTCACAACGCTCATCAGGAGACGGTATACGATATGCCACGGGGATGATGCTTGCAATATGTCTGACTTTTTGCTCTGCATCGTTACATTGCAAAGGACGGACCTTTTTTTCAACTCTTACACTCCCACCGCCACCTGCTACATGCAGGCAACTCCGCATTTTCTCTGGATATAAACAGGCATTAACGACAACTTTTGTGGCATAATTGCGGACTTATATCCGGTAGACACAGGCCGGGGGGAGGCATTCGAGGGCCCTTGCATACCTGCCAGTTTCGTTTCCATCATGGTTGGGGCCAAGCATATCGGTCAGGGAGGGGGGTGAAGATGTTGGACTTTATCGAACCCATGCGCAGCCACCGAGGACCTTCACCGGTTACACATACCCCTTGAGAAAGCACGGAGCAGGGACGGACACTTGTAATCCTGTCTGCAAGCATTATTCCCTATCCTTGGTTGCCCTATCGCCGAGTCTTCCCATGTGCATGGCATGGGCCTTGCAGGAGGGTAATCCTTCCTGAATGATTTGTAAAAGAAGAAAAGCTGCACACCCCGTTTCACCCTGCCTCCCCTGACTCCTTTGCCCCAGAAAATCCTTGGCGATGAGCATCGAGGAGAATTCAGTGATGAATTGCTTAAATCGACGAGTCGATCGATATGGCTTCAAAGACGGCCACCCCCGTGTAGGTGATGCTCCTCCAGCCAGGGGTGTCGTGAAGCCCTGTTTCTGCATGCTGATACACGTACCCCCATAGGCACTTGGTCGATTTATCATCGGCATCTTGGTCGGCATTTTGCTGCTGCTGCTGCTGTGCGTTTGCGTTGCTGGCGTCCCCCATGAGCAGCATCTCAACCCCAAACGCCGAAGCCATCATGGGCCGTGGCAGCTGGCCTCCCAGGCCGTACCAGACCTCCTTGTACGCCAAGTGAAGGGCCTCCTGGAGGAACCCTGTCGTGGCGAAGCCCGTTGCTGCCGCATCGCCATCGCCCACGGTGCCGTTGGTATATGCCGAAAAGTGATGACGCGTGCGGATGTACATGGACGACGCCCAGATGAAGGACCTCGTGGCGCTGGGCGCCGTTTGCACCGCCAGCCAGTCCAGATAAGGCGTCAGGCCATCGGCGAAGGATTCTGGCACGCGCAGGACCCTGACCAGGGCGGCCACTCGGGTCTGCAGACGTGGCGACAGACGCATCTCCCGCCTGGAGAGGGTGAAGAAGGGCAAGGAACGTGCGACGACGCTGGCGCCATCGCCATCGCCCGTACCAGCACCGGCGATGCTACCCATGCTTGCCCTGCCGCTGGAGCCTAATAGAGCGCCGTCGTCGATGCCGGCGTCGATCGCGCAGCTTACTCTGCGGAGCTCGTACCAGGTGCCGTTGCCGTAGCCTCGGTGCAGGTAGACGCCCCAGTCGAACTCTTCTCTGTCGATGCCCTTGGCGCACGACACTTCGTATGACGCCAGGTCGAGATCCTCAGATAGACATGGCGGGTAGTAGCAGCTGACGGGCGAGTCAGGGCCGTGAGAACTGGATCGAGGGACGGAGATTGTGATGTAGAGGGAGCCGGGTTCAAGGGTTTTCAGCTCACGGCTAACGACGGAGCGTTTTTCTTTGAGTTCCATTGCAAGGTGATGTTGACGATGGGGCGGCAATGAGATGAGAGCGCGTAGCCAATGTTTATCGAGCAGAGGCTTTGATGGATGGAAAGGAAGTTGTTGAGATTGATCTGCTTGTCTCTTCCTCTTCCTCTCTCTCTCTCTCTCTCTCTCTTGACTTTGTCAAAGTTTGAGTTGTCGGTTGATCATGCTGAAGAATGAACTGCCATAGCCGTTCCATCAGTTGGCAAACCCATCGTCGTTTGAACTGCCAGCTGGTCGACAAGTGTCAAGGCATTCGACTCTGTTGTATTGAACCCGCCAAATCCGGCTGTCCCATGATTTCGACGTGATACATCTCCCTCATCAAGCATCTGTAAAAGCTGAGGCGCCAACCGTCATCAGGATATTTCTCAAGACGTATCAAAAGTCAAGTCCGTGATGTTTTTCTAACATCATCATTAGCCGCGCTTGTCTTACAATAGCAAACCAACCAGACAGCGTTACTTTTCTTTTCTTTTTCTCGACATACTCATTCCCGAATAATTTTCCGGCTTGGATCCCTTGGATGCGACTTCACCTAAAATGTGGTTCCAAGCTGTTCCACAAAGCCAACAAGAAAAAAACATCTCGCCATTATTCTCGGCCGTCGAAACCCGATGGATTTCCCGCGGACTGCCGCTGGATCCCCCTCGACTGTTTAGCTTCCCATTCCTTCACAAACGTTGTCTTATCAGCAAAAACACGACTCTGTCCGGACCACGAGATTTCCCAGCCTCGCCTTTGACGCAACATCACTCGTGCGCTTAACGGCCCTGGGATCCACGAAGCCCGTTTGTACATTCTCCGTAGTACCCGCAAAACCGCCGACGATAATTAGCGGGGTCTTTTTAAAGAGAGTCACGCCAAAAGGATCGCCACTTTGGCCAATATCTATCGCGTGTCATCCGGATTGTCTGCGATATTCTCTGCATTGGCTCTTTTTTTTTCTTTCTAGAGACTTTTTTGCGCCGCTTGTTTCTCGTCACGTCACTTGCCCTTCATCCTGATCGCCTTGCCTTGCGTGTCTCAAGTTGATCAGTCACTGGTTTTGATCATACTTGATTATAAGTGATCGACGGGTTTTGGATTTGCTTTTTCTTCTTCTTTTTAAAGCTCCAGATCCGCATACGTCATAGAGGGCGAGGAAAAAGAACCCCTGATTTCCGTGTGAAAAACCACTGCGGGGTACAGCTTTTTGGAGAACGAAGCTCTGATCGCGGGGTCCTTTTTTTATATCTCCTCAATCTCAAGTCCAGTTGATATACTAGACGGTTCTTGTACACACAATTCTTATAAATCATATCAAAAAAACAAAGGAGGAAAACCATCACATCAAAAGAGAGAAACTCCCCCAAAAATGTCTGGCCCCGTCCCAGTCGCAAAGTCCCTGGCGGACATCTACCCCCCAACCGCCGTCGACGTCGAGACTCCGCGATGGAACAACCTGCTCGCAAAGTTCGAAAAGGACTTTGGCCACCCGGCGCACTTCATCTCGCGGTCGCCCGGCCGCGTCAACATCATCGGCGAGCACATCGACTACTCGCTGTACTCGGTGCTGCCCATGGCCATCACCGCCGACGCCATCATCGCCGTGTCGACCAAGCCGGTCGCCGCCGACGCAACGACGTTCAAGGTCCGCGTGCACAACGTCCAGGACGCCAAGTTCGCCCCCGGGGAGTTTGACGTTCCGATCGGGAGTGATGTCGACATTGATTCCACAGTGTTCGAGTGGACAAACTACTTCAAGAGCGGGCTTCGCGGCGCGCTGGGCCTCCTGTACCGCAAGAAAGGGGCCGGCTTCCGCCCCTGTGACATGGAAGTGCTTATGGACGGCAACGTTCCCGTTGGCGGAGGGCTGAGCTCAAGCGCCGCCTTTGTCACCGCCAGTGCTCTGGCCGTCATGGCCGCCAATGGCGAGAGCGCGGTGGACAAGAAAGAACTAACTGAGCTCGCCATCGTCAGCGAGCGAGCCGTTGGGGTCAACTCTGGAGGGTAAGTTTTCTTTCTCGTGAATATACGAGTGCCTACACAGTGGCGCCGGTTTGTCCCGTTGAGCTGCCTGCCTTGCCCATGTTTCCCGTAATATCGGCACCATCGTCGATGATTTTCCTCGCAGCAAGTGGGCACTCGTATCTTGCCGAGCATCATGCAACTTGCTCCTACATACATACGCACTTACATATACACTTACATACATACACACTTGTCCTTAAAAGCCAAACCCACACACCCTCCCCCCCCTTGTTCCCCCCTGGCCCTACCGCATAAACTCTCTCGTACAGATCCTCGCCGTAAATCGTACAATGCTGACAATCATCACCGCCACAGCATGGATCAATCCGCATCAGTCTTCTCGGAGCAAGGGTCCGCCACATTCGTGTCCTTCACCCCCGGCCTGTCTGCCCGGCCGGTCAAGTTCCCCCCAACCAGGCCCGAGCTGTGCTTCGTTATCGCGCAATCCTTTGTCACGTCCAATAAACATGTCACAGGACCCATCCACTACAACCTTCGTGTCGTCGAGGTCAGCTTTGCGGCTGCTTACCTTCACGCGGTGCTCAACCCACCCGGCACGCAGCTGCCAGAAGACGCAGGCCCTCTCGGCATTAGCCTCCAGGGATTCCACGACACATTCTTCTACCACAACGGCGGGTCGGACTACGCCGCGGCCAAGAGCCTGACCAAGGAGGAGGAGCTGCGCAGGCTCGTCGAGGTCACCAAGGAGACGCTGACCCGGGAGGACGGCTACACGCGGGAGGAAATCGCCGCCGTCCTCCAGATGTCCGTGCCGGACCTAGAGCAGCGCTTCATGGCCAGGTTCCCCGTCCGCGCTGACCGGTTCAAGCTCAGGCAGCGAGCCCTGCACGTCTTTACCGAGGCGCTGCGAGTCCTCGAGTTCCTGACGCTGCTCGAGCGTCCCTTGCACACGGGGGCGACCGACACGACTCAGTTCAACCAGGAGCTCGGACGCCTCATGAACGAGACGCAGGACTCGTGCAGGGACCTGTACGAGTGCAGCTGCCCAGAGCTCGACGACATATGTCGCATCTCACGTGGCGCCGGGGCTTATAGCAGCAGGCTGACGGGAGCCGGGTGGGGAGGATGCACCGTCCACCTCGTGCCCGTTGACAAGGTGCAGGCCGTCAAGGAGGCGCTCGAGCTGCAGTACTATGCCAAGCTGGACCTGACCGACGAGCAGAGGGAGCAGGCTGTCGTCGTGAGCCGGCCCGCTCGAGGGAGTGCCGTCTATATAGTCGAGGGAGGCCAGATAAGGTGATGGCTGGCGGGGGAAGAAAAAGGAAACAAAGAAAGAAAAATAAAAAAAGTAATGTGACGAGTTTGCAATGCGAGGCTGCGTGGGGGGGGGGGGGGGGGGGGGGGGGGGGGGGGGGGGGGGGGGGGGGGGGGGGGGGGGGGGGGGGG